GGGCGGGGCGGGAGGGAGGGGAGCCGCGGGGGGGCGTCCTCGGTGGCGAGCAGCGGGAGGCATCTGTGCCGACGACTGCAGCTAGTCGTCGGGGCAGAATATGTTTGATTGCCTCCGTCTGCTCCTGGGCAGTGGAGAACTGCTGGGCAAAAGTTCTCGACTGCACCGCCAAAAAGGCCAACCTGGGAGAGAGGGGCGCTGAGCAGACGAATCCGCTCAGCGCTCCGAGTGTCTGCCAGGTTGACGCTCCTGGACCACACTAGTGGCCATCACCTGACCAACGGCGCGAGCGGCCACTTTCGTCGCTCGGAGAGCAAGGTCAGTGGCGGACCGCAAATATACGAATGCCGTTTGGATCAGTCCCGCCCTCGAGCATATCTCTGAGCATCTGCGCTTGCACAGTGCTCATCGCATGCAAAGCGGAGGCCGCCCGTCCCGCCGCTCTATAGGAACGCGCCGCCGTGGCAGACGAGAACCTACAGGCTTTGGATGGGTGCTTAGGAGGACCACGGGAGGAGGCGCTCTGTGGACACGGCTGTATCGCAACAGAGCGCTCCAGCGGGGGCATCCCAGTGTACCCACGGGCGGCCCCCCCATCGAGGGGGGAAAGGCGGGGGAGAGATCGCGCTCTCGAGTGGACAGAGGAGTCCCCCAAGAGCGCGATAACTCCACATGCAGCTCGGGGAAAAAAGGCAATGGAGTTTAGCCGTGGCCTCGCGGCGGCAGCTTTGTCCAAAAACCAATTAACCCTCCGTGAGAGATCGGGGGAGAATGGATGCCACTCTAACCCAATACTCCCAGCGGCTTGAGACAGCATGCCGTCAGCTCGGGATCCGACACGGGCAGCGCTGGCTCTCCCGAAGGGGGCAGCGCAGCCGCATCCTCATCTCCCGAGGACTCTACCCGCCTAGTGATGCTGCGATCGACATCACATCATCATCTGGAGCACTGCTCGAAGCAGCCGGTACCACTGAAGAGGCAGCCGACTGAATCGAACTAACGCTCGCTGGCTCACACACTGAGGCGGGAGGTGTGGCCCGAGAAATCGTCGGGGCTTTTTTTTTTTTTTTTCACACCGTCACCGTTAATTCGCCGGGTCCCCGGTCGACGGGCCCCCTTTCGTGAAGGAAGCCGATCGAGTAAGGGGGACCGGGGCTCTCACTGTAGTGAGATCATCTCAACCTCAGTGTGGAGATGGTCATGTCCCTTTTCACAGAAGGAACATGAGTCATCCACGAACGCTGCTGCTGCACGCTGAATGCCCAGGCATACAGAGCAGCGATCGTGACCATCAGATGACGACAGAAATCGACCGCATCCAGAAGAACACGGGCGAACCGTCTTTACAAAGACGTGCCGCGTGTAGCTCTTTTACAGAGAGGAGGAAAATTCACTCTTTCAGCGCCGAGGCGACCAGGGAGAAGCGCAAAGTCTGGCAGACCACTGCACAGACCGCAGGCAATGCAGAAACTCGCTGGGTACCGCCGTCACACCAACACTGAAGAGGACGCTCGTCTCGAAGAGTCTTGAATTAGCTTTTAGGAGTGAAGAGGTTCTCTTGGCTCCGAAGCGAAAAACATACTGCGGTTGCGTTCACTTCCTCCTTTTATACTCACGGAGTAGGGCGGAGTACGCTATGCAAATTTCCGCAGCCCCAAGGCATTGCATGCCATTGGCTCGTTTTTAAATACTCGAAGAGGATTGGCTTTCTATGCGAAACCCCCAATCTCCGTCACTTCTGACGTAACTCGAAGTGACTACGAAAGGGAACCATAGATTCAAGAAGATTGAGGATACTTAATTTTTCGCCCAAAAAAAAAAAACGTAAAGGGTAACACTGTCGGGGTTTTTTTCGGATCGAAATTTTGAGTTTTGATATCTGGCATTAATATAATGGCATTAAGGCTACTTGGGATCTCAAAATCTCAGGTCTAAGTCTCGTGGCCCTCTATCAGAATCCAGAGTTTCGAGAAGATCAGAGAAACTCAAAATTTTGACCCGTTTTTTCGGGGCGAAAAATTAAGTTTCTCCAATCTTCTCAAAACTCTGGATTCTGATAGAGGGCCATGAGACTTAGACCTGAGTGCCAAAATGGAGGCTCTAGACCCTTCCAGAGCTGAGATATTGAGATCCCACGTAGCATTAATGCATAAATATCTCAATATCTCAACTCAGGAAGGGTCTAAAGCCCCCATTTTGGCACGCAGGTCTAAGTCTCGTGGCCCTCTATCAGAATCCAGAGTTTCGAGAAGATCAGAGAAACTCAAAATTTTGACCCGAAAAAAAAAACGACAGTGGTACCCCTTTCGTTTTGTTGTGTTTTTTCGGGGCGAAAAATTAAGTTTCTCCAATCTTCTCAAAACTCTGGATTCTGATAGAGGGCCATGAGACTTAGACCTGAGTGCAAAAATGGAGGCCCTAGACCATTCCAGAGTTGAGATATTGAGATCCCACTTAGCATTAATGCCATAATAAATATCACAATATCTCAGCTCTGGAAGGGTCTAGAGCCCCCATTTTGGCACTCAGGTCCAAGTCTCGTGGCCCTCTATCAGAATCCAGAGTTTCGAGAAGATCAGAGAAACTCAAAATTTTGACGCGAAAAAAAAAAACGACAGTGCTTCGTTTTTTTTTTTCGGGGCGAAAAATTAAGTTTCTCCAATATTCTTGAAACTCTGGATTCTGATAGAGGGCCATGGGACTTAGACCTGGGTGCAAAAATGGAGGCTCTAGACCCTTCCAGAGCTGAGATATTGAGATATTTATGATGGCATAAATGCTACGTGGGATCTCAATATCTCAGCTCTGGAAGGGTCTAGAGCTTCCATTTTTGCACTCAGGTCTAGGTCTCAGGTCTCGCCGGGAAATCGCTGTCACACCAACATGAGTCTCTCAAAGAAGCTGACAGTCTCTGTAGAGAAGTGCTTGGGGAACGAAGAGTGAACTTGGCTCCAAAGCGAAAACATGCCTGATTTGCATTCAGCGTCCTCCTTAAATACCCACAGCTGATAAGGCACAGGTGAGCGGAGTTACGCCATGCAAATTCTGCAGACCCATGGCATTTCTTTGCCATTGGATCGTTTTATATTGATTAAAGCTGATAGGCTTTCTAAGCGAAAATCCCATTCGTCATCATCCGACCGAACTCGGAGTGACAACGAAAGGGAACTCTGGATTCTGATAGAGGGCCATGGGACTTAGACCTGAGTGCAAAAATGGAGGCTCTAGACCCTTCTATAGCTGAGATATTCGTCTTCCTGTTTAACTGTGACAAACGCCCACGTGTTCAAGCACGCACAGACCTTGGGATCCAAATACAGTACAATAGCAAGGCATTCACAGTACAGAGTAAAGAAGAAAAAGTTAGGAAATTCCAGTGACTAAACATTAAATAATAGTCACTAACCTTATCTAAACTTTCCTTCTATGTGGCCACGCTACAAGCTTAGCATACATCATTGAAGAGGACAAGACCATTAGCATTTCTCAAAAAAAAAAATTACCAAAGAGTTTCAATATTTTTCCTATTTAAAACTTAGTTACATCATCCACTGTGGCATCAGAAACGGTTTAGAACTGATGTGACTTCGGTTCACTGCATTCTTACAGAGAAAACCCATTTAGCAATGGTGTTGACTGAATTTGCACGCAGTTTGTCTTAAATCATATTAAAAACACCACGTAGACCTATAAACAACTTTAAAAGCTTAATTTTCATGTTTATGAATCTGGGACATTTTTGGAGTGATGCATTTACTGGCTTTCATATGAAAGCATCAAATGCATTATTTATCAAAGGAGAGGGGACTTTAAATTTACAAGACAATTTATAAAATTGGGTCTCTTTCATTTAAACGAGTATGAATTTTAATGAAATATGCCACATGCTGACTGGGATGTTGAAAACATGCACGAAACTCATTGTTTCATTAGTCCAGTGCTAGTTCAATGGTTAAACATTGACTGTTTGTTCACTTGATATGAACGGATGTTTCATTAAATTAAGCTCAATACTAATAAAACAGACTAGTTTTAATGCGAAGCACCAAAAATGGCCACTGCTTTGTTCAGGTATAAAAATAATTAGAAAATATTGATTACACAATATATGTAAAGTAAACTGGAGCATTGTGGAAAATGAAGTCTCCTTCCACCATGAGTCATAAACTGAAATGAGTTATGAAATATGATTTATATAAAGTTACAAATGTCCATTGTAACACTGATTATTGATATAATTTAAAAAAATATATTATATTAAACAACAGTTTTCCATTTTGATTGTAGTTCTGTTGATTAAAATTGGAATGAAAAGTCCTGAATCCTATGATGTCTCAATTCAAATTGAGGAAATGAACTGGAAATGAAAAGTCATTCTCAGTTCTGAGTGGCGCAAATCCTGGTGTTTACAATCCCAGCCCCGGATGAGTGTGTCCAGCTCAAAGTCCTCAACAGGACGTCAGACTCAGTGGTTACACTCACAGCGCACGCACTGTACAGCCTGACTCACTTCAGTTCTACTTTCTTAGGTTTGGGTCTGATGACATACAACTATTGTGAGTATGACATTTCTAAAGAAATACTTTAATGTGATAACACACTTTTTAGGAATTTAGAAGTACCTGAAAGTGAATTTAGACCAAATATGAATTCAGTGGTGGTTATGAAACTTCTTTAAGGTTATGTAAAGCATGTCGTTATGTAGGGTTTGGGTGCATTTTAAACTAATTGATGGAGTTCCTTCGCTACCTACTTCAACTCATTTCATATTTTAATTTATTCTGTGTAGCAGTTTTTATAGGCATTATTAATCCTTCAGATCAAGAGGTTTTTAAGATCATGAAACATAAATTCAGTCCTGTAGTTATTAAAAGGAAATGTTGAAGGTATTAAGATATAAAATGTATATAATATTGAATTAAATAATGATTTAAGAAATAACTAAAAAAATACAGTACAGTAACATAGTGAGTGGAAAATAATATTGTAACATAACTATATATACTATATATATACACACACACATACACACGTATATATATATATCAAGAGTTCAGATGCAAAAGCCTCTAAATGCCATTTGAAATTTTCTTCTTTAATGATGATTTTTATCAAAATTGTATATTTAAGTTCAGTAATTTCACTTAAATAACAATTAATAGGTAATTATCATTGCCATTTAAGTGAAATCACTGATCTTAAATATACAAGCTTGATAAAAATGATCATTCTAGAAGAAAATTTCAAATGGCACTTAGAGGCTTTTGCATCTGAACTCTTCATATATATATATATATATATATATATATTAGAGCTGGACCAATAAATGAATTTGAAATTTTATATTTATATATATATATATATATATATATAATTAAAAAATGTTTGTTAGATGTGGTTAATCACAATTCATCGATTTGACATCCCTATTTATTAGTAGTAGTTATTTTCTAGTTTTTTTCTTTTTACAAATTTAACAAAGAATATTTTTAGATATAGGCTATGTGAAACTATTTATCTCCCAATCATTTCAGTGTTTTACAGAGACTTTTATCTTCATAAAATCACAATCTCAGGATGATGCTACTACTATTTTTTACTTGAAGTTTTTTTAAAAATTTGATTAAAACTTGTAGAAGACATGCATTTAAGTCACTGCCTCTATTAGCAGATTTTTTTAATAAATTAATAACTGATCGTCACATCATTGAATCAAATGCATTTTACACAGCTTGTTCTGATCGCAGATGTACAGTAATTAATATCTAATTCCTCTGCAGATATTCCTGGCCGATTCAATGGCTGAATATATATTCTACTATCTCAAGTAAGAGCAACACTCTTCATGAAATCATTGTAAATGTAAGCATACATCAAACTAAAAGCTGTTTGTCTGGTGATGTAGGACGTTGCTGACCCCGCTGCTGGCTCTGACTGTGATTCTGTGTATATTGAGATACTGCTGCAACTACTGCAGGAAAGCCTCAGACACACACTTAGACTTCGACCTGTCAGACAGCGACCACGTCTATGTGATTCCAAATCCCATTCACACGAGAGAAGAGAGAGACGAACGAGACGAGACAGACCTCATGAAGACATGTTCACACCACCACCATACGAGCTAGTGTGTCCACCGCCAACATATGCAGAGGTACATCTGTCCATCCACCCGTCTGTCTGTCCGTCCATCATCTCTGTCTGTCCATCCATCTGTCATCTCTCTGTCAATCTATCTATCACACTATACTAATATTGTGTTTGACTCTCTTTCACCTTCAGAACTGCCTTAAAGGAGTAGTTCACTTTTGGAAAAACTTTTGCTGATACAGTTTTTCTCAGTCGCTTTGGTGCATTTCTCACATCACTATTTACATTTGCACAACAGTTAATGCAATTCACAAAACAATTAGTACAAACTGCAAAACTTAGTTGATAACCTGCAAAAGTGTGTCACTTGCTCAAGATGGATAACTCATTCCTCAAAAGCAAGTATTCACGTCAGTGTCGTCAAGATGAAAAGTCCTAACACCAGTACAAGATAGTCAAATGGCTTTGTCATGTTTTCATTAGGACAGTTTACTCTGTAAGTGTTTGCCAATGCAAAAAAAGTCAGATCTTGGTGACACTACCTGAAAATGCTCAAGACAGTCCTATAAACTATTTGCACAGCCATTTGAAAACTACAGTAAAGTTTTACATTACTGTATTTAGTACTATATTCAGAGTACAAGACACTGAATATGTATGTTTCACATTTTTACTGCATGGTCTTTGCAATTCTAATTTGTTCAGAGCATTGTGCAAAAGAAAAAATACACCCTTATTTACAACAAACATAAACTTTGGGTAGATCGGTGCACCACTGTAAACAATATCACAGTACATATTGGAACTGAACAACATAACTCAATAAATCAGTACTGTAAATCATTCATGCAAATCTCTTCTCATCAGTGAAAGCTGAGGTTCACCTGCGAGAAATTGTTCAATTTAGGATAAAAAAGTTTTTTTTTTTTTAAAGATATAAAAAAAATGTAAAATTTGCTTGACGGATTTTGACTAGTTTAACATTTTTGTATGTGATGACTCAAGCAATGAAATGAGGACTATTAGTTTTATATGGAATGACTATTCAGCATTCAAGTATAGTTAATTTGGACTGATATGACATAAGCAAATGAACGCAACTGATGCATGTCCAAAAGCATTTGCAATTTGTTGGAAGGAATGAGAAACTGCTACTACGATGTGCACAAACGACAAAATGTTGTGGAGGTTGAACTAACTGTTGTGCAAATGTAAATAGTGATGTGAGAAATGCACCAAAGCAACTGAGAAAAACTGTAATTTACTCACCCCCATGTCATCCAAGATGTCCACGTCTTTCTTTCTTCAGTCGAAAATACATTTTTGATGAAAACATTCCAGGATTTTTCTGTGACGCACGTGTGTGACTCTCCTGTTCGAACTCGTTCATCAAAATGAAAAAATCTTTTTCCGAGTCATTTGGTTCATTCAATGAACGAAACGAACTAATTGACTCTGAAAAACGAGTTCAAACAGGAGAGTCACGAACGTGCATGAGCGATCGTTTCGTTTGATAAGACCCTTATTCATCGTCTGGAATCGTTTAAAGCCCTTTGAACAGTTTGCACTGAAACTGCTTTTGGACCTTGAACCGTTTGGTTCCCAGTAAAGTGCATTATTTTGAGAACAATGTTGGAATGTTTTCATCAAAAACCTTAATTTCTTTTCGACTGAAGAACGAAAGACATGGACATCTTGGATGACATGGGTGTGAGTAAATTATCAGCAAAAGTTTTTTCAAAAGTGAACTAGGCCTACTCCTTTAATTCTGCGTGATTCAACAAGATGCTGAAAGCATTCTTTAGAAATGTTGGCCCATATTGATAGGATCGCATCTTGCAGTTGATGGAGATTTGTGGGATGCACATCCAGGGCACGAAGCTCCCGTTCCACCACATCCCAAAGATGCTCTATTGGGTTGAGATCTGGTGACTGTGGGGGCCATTTTAGTACAGTCAACTCATTGTCATGATCAAGAAACCAATTTGAAATGATTCGAGCTTTGTGACATGGTGCATTATCCTGCTGGAAGTAGCCATCAGAGGATGGGGACATGGTGGCTATAAAGGGATGGACATGGTCAGAAACAATGCTCATTGGCCGTGGCATTTAAAAGATGCCCAATTGGCACTAAGGGGCCTAAAGTGTGCCAAGAAAACATCCAACACACCATTACACCACCACCACCAGCCTGCACAGTGGGAACAAGGAAAATTCAGACTTTACACCTAAATGCATTGAAGCAACTGCCATGTGATTGGTTGAGTAGATAATTGCATTAATGAGAAATTGAACAGGTGTTTAATCAGTAATTATCCTTTAAGTGAGTGTGTGTGTATATATATCAATCATTGTCTATCTATCTATCTATCTATCTATCTATCTATCTATCTATCTATCTATCTATCTATCTATCTATCTGTCTGTCTGTCTGTCTGTCTGTCTGTCTGTCTGTCTGTCCACCTTTTTAGCCCTTTTCAGCAGGTTAGATATGGACACTAGCTTGAACCAGTTATGAGCAGCTTAGGATAGCTTTGGCTGGATTTGTTGAAATGCTGTTTTTAACATAAAATCATGTTTTGTTTTACAGGCCAGCTTTAAATTCAATATTTCTGATGTTCAAGTGGATCTAGACTCAGAGATGGAGGCGGCCTACGTACCTCCTCCACCATACAGCCCACCTCTACCACCACAGTCATCCAGCCATCCACAAGTAGAATAACTTCGTAACTAATAGAACTATTACATTTTATCTTTACATATCTGTAAATGTGTTCATACCAAGACGACAAAGTCTGACATATGATTACCTAACAATCCCAAAGAAGGAGCTTTATATACGTCATAGATAATTCTTATCTTAAGAAAGAACGTTTACTGCTTTTACAATTGCTAGGACACATTTCTCAACACTTTTTCTTCACACAGTTCTCCTAATGGACTTTCATTTCACATTCAAAATGCTCTAAAACTACCAAAACATGTCATACATGTCTCAAATCAACACATTCTTCCATAAGACTATAGGTTTTCAACCAACAAACACACTTTGTCACCCATAAAACAATGATGTCAAAACAATGACGACAAGCAGGATCATGCAATTCTTTTGGAAAAAAAAGAATGATATTTAAGAATGTTTATAATTGTCCATATTTACATTACAGTACAAAATTATTCCTAACATCTAACTGTTTTGATAGTTTGTGTAAAGAGTTTTGAAGATGTGACTTAAGAAATGGGTGTTAGTGAGATTTATATTAATTATATTTTATACATATTATTGAGAGATTTCAGTAAAAACAAAAGCAGGTATTCAGCTTCATTATATCCTTATAGATTATTTATTCCAGGACTAAACATGCTGTGCTTTCTCCTAACAAATTATTGTTCTGTTTAAATGTTGTTTTAATCATTACCTTGAATGTCTGACTGCATAAAATACCCATACTGTTCAACTTGAAGTGTTAATGTGCTATATATAAAATAAATACTACCTCATGAAGTGAGATGAGAAGAGATGTGTTGTGGGTAAGGATGCTGCATATTATCTCCACTCAATACTTTGAGATGTGTTTTGAAGTATCATCGGTAAGACAGGGTCAGCTCAATGCTCCCTGCTTCCCCATGTGAATGTACAGCTGCTTTTCAGTAAAACATTGAACTTTCTGTGGAGATTGTGTATGACTTTGCACACAATGAAAATTGTTGTCTGTTGTAAAAAGCTTAAATATGGTTGTAACACATTTTTAACTGCCGTTTTAAATAAACGTTATGTTGAAAAAGTAAACCACAAACACACACGCCTGCTTAGCTTGAGCCTTTCTAAATACATTGCATAGACTTCTGTGGTTTTTATATACAGCAATAGGTAATTTCAGAGAGGATAGCTTTCTTTAGTTTTTCAATGTAGGCCAAACTAAATGTCTTTAACCATTGCACTCACGCCTTTCGCAGTCTCGCACATGCGCGGCTCTAGACAGACCTTGCGCTTTTTCCGTTCCACCGACCTGCGTCTTGCGTTTCTAACTACAAAATCACGTTGGCCCTGTCCCAAATGGCACACTTCACATGCGTTTGCAGCCTTGTGGACTTACAATGGCTGCCATGTTTGTTCGCGTGTCCGTTAAGTCCATAAGACAGTACCAGGGTGTACCATTTGTCATTTTAGGTTTCCGTTAAGTCCATAAGACAGTACCAGGGTGTACCATTTGTCATTTTAGGTTTCCGTTAAGTCCATAAGACAGTACCAGGGTGTACCATTTGTCATTTTAGGTTTTCATTTAAGGGGGCTCGTTAACGCTCCCTTTGCGGTCGATTTGTGCCCTCGGTGCGCACTTTTGCCGAGCCGGCACTGAAGCGAGCTTGCAGCAGACTTCTCCCCAACAGTCAAAGCGCCGTTACATCAAGAATGTGCAGCAGACTCGTAGGAAGACTGAGTGTTTAGGTTGCCATTTGAGACAGCGCCGTTCTGTGTGAACCGGCCCAAAGTCTCCAAAGGCATGCCCATAGACAGTATAAGAAGTGGACAGAGCCATCTCACTGGAACTCCATTGAGACAAGTGAAGCCCATTTTTAGCTATTTTTTAAGACTTCCGTTCCTGACGCGCAGACTCAAACCGACTCAAGCAGAGCTTGACGACGTAGATGTGACGTGAGCAACTCGTCTGTCTTCTAGTGGCCGTGGCATGAGAAATCTGAATCATACCGTTCAGAAACTCGCAGAGGCGGAGAGTGTGAGTGTGAGTAGCAGAAAAAAACTTTTGCTAGGTATTCTGATGAATTATTTTGTAATTTTGCCTCCACGTTTCCCCGATTGAACCGCGAGCTTCTCCTACTGTCCATACGGTAATATCTCTACTGTGCGACAGTGAGTCGCGTGGTTATGATGCAATCATTAGCCTACTTTACAAAAAGACTGCTTCTACGGGGCCATAACATAAGCTACAAGGTAATGGAGCATTTTATACATTGTCATGTTTCTTTAAAAAATAAATAATGGACAAATGGAGTCTTCAAACGCCTCAGATGTAAAGTTATTTGCTGTCAAAGTGACGCCAAAATGATTGGGAGTCAATGGAAATGCTATCTCAAGTGAAGTTCTGCTACAAGATGGTGGCATGAATGGATTACACCCTTGGGCATGCCTCCTCCAAAACACATGAACGGGCACAGTAGAGTCTGCGTGATCAGGAGGGGACATGTTCAGTTCGCTTGGTTTGTTTGGTCTGTACAAAAAAAAAAAAAATTATCCCGGTCCGCTTAGTGTTCAGATTGGCATTTTTTCCGGCAAACCTAAAGGCAAAAGGATGTGTTCACAACATGATTGGTCGGCAAGTTCACAATTTCACAAGTTCACACATAAGACGCGTTTCCACCGCAGGAACTTTCCCCAGGAACTAGGAACTTTGGGGTGGTACTCAGTGTGTTTACACCGCAGGAACCAGGGTCTAAATGAAGTTCAGGGTAAAAATTTCCCCCCCAGAAAGTCCCTGCTGGTGAGGTAGTACTTTTTCAGAGTTCAGGAACTTTCGGAGTGGGACTTGCTGCGCTGAACATGCTGATTGGTTCTTACCACGCTATTCTTTCTGCCCGATAGCGCGCGTTCGTCCCATCCATCTCAAGGTCAATGTCCGCTGATAACAAACGTCTACTTTTATATCTAGCATTACAAGCTTTCTGAATATGCTTTGGGTGCTCGTCTCTTTTCTGCCGTTTTGTTAATTGCCTCGTTAGTAAACCAATCGCACACAAAAGCAGCAAAGATTGAATCTCCTCCATACAAAACTCAAAACAAACGCGCAGGCTAGGAAGAGCAGTCGCACGCAGTTCAACGTCACTACACTACATCTTCCCGCCTCGGACCGGTACTTTAGTACGCGGTGTAAAAACAGTAAGCAAGTGGTCTGGGGGGAAAAAGTTCCTGTGAAAAAAGTTCCCGGGACAAATAGTTCCTGGTAATTCTGGTGGAAACGCGGCTTTACTAGACATCAATTAGAGGGGGTAAAGTTTAATGCATATTTGGCGTGCTGTCCGGGGGGGCTCTGAGCTCGGAGTTCGGCCTGAACCCAGAGTACTCCCCCCATGCAAGTATTTAGGGCTAGAAGTGTGGAGAAGGGTGGAGGGGTGCTGCTGAACTGTCAATGGCGTGAGGTGAGACTGCTGAGTTTATATAATACAGCTCTTATTATTGATTGTTGAGTGCTCTCCACCTGTGTTAATTATCTGAACGTTCTCCTTCCAAACTTTGATAAAACATCATTTTTTGCACATCCAATGGAGCGGGCGACTCTGACGTGCAACCAGTGTGCTAGCCTTACATCAGAGCCCGCCAAGGGGGCATGACGCAGCCTATATAGACCCCTGAATTCGCCATTATAGCGAGCCGCATTGTCTGCCTGGGAATCGACCAAGTGGAGAACGTTCTCATTGCCGGGGGATGTGCGGCCTTCGTGCTGTGCAATCAGCAAACTCTCTCTTGAGACGGCGATGCCGCTTCAGCGACGCTCTCCGCTCTCAGGAAGAAGCAGCGTCACAGCCAACGGCAACCTGACGACTTGGATACTAGTGAATGCACGCCGGCCGCGTCCCCGCGTGCTTCATTTTCTCCGGTCCAATCGCCATCACCAGTCTTGTTCGCTGGAGACCAGCGCCCCCCCCACGTGGCGGGCCTCCTCTCCTTTGGCGGATCGCTCGAACATGACGCCCGCCTGTCCATCGCTGCCTCTGTGGACGAGTGGCCGGGCTCTCTCGACCCCGTCACCGCCTCGCAGTCTGTGGCCAGTGATTCGGTTAATAGAACGAACTCTAACCAGGGCCGTCACGGACCTCGAGCTGGAGTGGACCACGCCTGAGAAGCCTCCTCTCAGTCGATTGGACAGATGGTTCTTGTCGGGGCGCCAACAGGCCTCCCCGTCACAAACTGGCTCTTCGTGGACCTTTTTCCCGAGATCCACAAGGACCTGACCAAGGCCTGGCGTGTGCCTCACACAGCATGCGTGGGATCTTCTACAGTATTTCCGCGACGCTCTCCTCTGTGGATGACGCAGCGGAATAAGGTTACAAGTCGTTGCCGCCCCTCAAAGAGGCCAGTCATCTTTGCCCGATGGTTATATATGTATACATATATATTACTGGGTTATGGCTTGTTCTGTCAACTCAGGCTCTGAGTTGCGGGGGAACAAGTTACTCAGGGTGTGGCATTTTGCATGGGGTTCCCACTGCGTATAGCTACACAATACGAAGTGACCATTCGAAAGGGAACTACTCGGTTGCTATCATAACCTCAGTTCCCTGAGAGAGGGAACAAGTATTGCGTAACACAAGAAAAACCAACCCGATCTCACAGGAATTTGTACGAATTTTACGAGGTGGCTAATTCGTAACAATTCGTACGACCTCACTCATACGAATTAGTACGATTTTGCTAAATCATACATATTTTACGAATTAGCCAATTCGTATGAATTCGTACGAATGACCCCGCCCCTAAACATAACCGTCACGTGGGTTTAGACAAATCATACGAATTCGTACGAGTGAGGTCGTATGAATTAGTACAAATTATCCACTTTTGAACAACTCGTACGAATTCGTACGAATTGGTCATGAGATAGCGTATGAAAAACGGTGAAGTTGTCGCTTCAGTAGTATAAACCTGCTATAATGGCGAATTCGGGGGTCTATATAGGCTGTGCCACGCCCCCTTGGCGGGCTCTGACGTAAGGGCTAGCTCACTGGTTGCACGTCAGAGTCGCCTTGTGCCATTGGATGTGCAGTTGCTGCAGCACAGCCTATGAGCGCGCATGACGCTCAATGTGCTGGCTGAAAATGCGTTTTACAAAAGGCAAATCGGGGAAAAGGAGTTTTCCCACTGCCTATAGCTACGCAATACTCATTCCCTCTCTTAGGGAACTGAGGTTACGATAGTAACCGAGCTCTGTTTTTCTGAATTAACAAGTTAATTATCTCAGAATTACAAGATAATTTTTCATGGAAAAAAAGTTTTTGCTCTGTTTTGTCTGAATTAACGAGTTAATTATCTCAGAATTATGATATATATTTATCTTGAAAAAAAAAAACATTTTTCACTGTTTTTCTAAATTTAGTTACTTCGAATCATTAATTCACGAAAACAAAGAAAAATTATCTCGTAATTGTAATTGCTTATACATTACAACTCGCCAAATAAATAAATGGTCATGAACTATTGATTTGAGTTGATATTCTTTTATTATGAGTGTTTGGAGTGATACAGGAGACACAGTGAATCTAGTACATCTGTAGGAAATCACTTTCCTGGGGCAACTGTCAATTATATAGTTTTAAGTCATTATAGAAAAATATATGACTGCAGAACGCTGCGATTGATTAGTCACAGTGAAGTATTCTAGAAGTCTTGGAATGAAATAATACAGTTTTAACTTTTTATAATGCACACAGTCTAATCCATTTCAACTGACACATTTAGTGAGATATGTTGTTTTTTTGAACTGAAATCGATTTTATACTAACAAATGTTACAAGAAAAGACACAAATCAGAACATGCAGGAGAATATGAAACAACCGTAAACACGCCAAAACACTCTTCAATTCTGCTAATAATACATCAAAACTAAACAATCCCTCCAAAACACTACGTAATCATATAGCATTGATACATCCAACATGATTCTGAATATCTTCAGTGTAACGTAGGATGCTAAAACATATTCTACAGTTTCTATACAAATATACAGCCCTACTCTAACAGGAATAACAAACATACAGCACTGTACAGAAATCCTTTAAAACCAATACGGATATACAGATCAGGTCAGGGTTTTTTTGGGGTTTTTTTTTTTACAAAATAATAAACTAGCTTTGTATTGTCATGATTTTCTGTGCAAAAATCTAAAGAACAGGCAAGTTCACGTAGATTACAGCAGGTAACTAGACTCTAGCCACTGTGAGAAGAACCCAACTGGTGAATTACTCTCAGAAGACCCAGCTGACAGGAACCCACTGGTGGTCTGTATTGAGTCTGTCCAGCGCCCTCTTGAGGCTGCGGTATGCTCCGTCAAGGTTGTCGTTCACAATGCTCAGGTCAAAATAGTGACTGTACGCCCTCTGGATCCTTTCGCTCTCGTCCACCGTCCGTTTGAGTTCTGAGTCCTAGAGAGACACTAATATAGTCAACATTGAGGGAGCTGATAATTGCAGGTTTTTTGTTTTTTTTTAAATTGGTAGGACACATACTTGAGTAAACTTTTCAAAAATACTTCTTGGCATAACAGTTAATTTCACATTCAAAATGCACTAAAACTACCAAAACACTTCATACATGTCTCAAATTAACTCATAACACTAGCAAAGACTTTCATCCAACAAACACACTTTGTCACTCGTAAAACCTAAAAAAAAAAACGCTAACAACAGTTTGCACAATGGTTTGCAATCATAAAACCAGGGAGGTAAACTTGATGATTTACATATCAAGTAAGGTCTGGCTATATAAGGAAATGCAACGGAGAGTTCAGGGCTGCTTTTTCTGTATCAGATCAGCCCATGATGCTGTGTCGTTGAGATTCAGCATTCATGCATCTTAATGTCGGTAAAAGATTCCTCTATGTTTTAGAACACTTGATGGTTTGCATTGATTCTCTTTCAATTGATTGTGGAATTGTAATAATCCATTTAACTGACATAATAAATTGTTCTATTTGATTATTCTAACAGACTTTGACTTTATTTTCATTAGAGTTAAAAGGAATAGTCAAACATTAACATATATTTAATGATGCACACACAGATATCATTGTTATACCTTTTTAATTTTATGGAGTCAGATGAAACGAGTAAATACATAAGATTAAAGGTTATGCATTTAATTAAAAATCACTTTGCCAGACTTACCTTTACAGACTTACCTGTGTATGTACTCTACATCTAATTGTTTTGAAAGCATTTGATTTTTTTAGATTTGGAATATGCTATTATTGCAGAAATGTAGCAAATGACTGTCTTGTTCAGTCAAAAAAACCCAAAAAACTTCAGTTCAGTTGTTTGACTTAAGTTTAGCCATTTTGAAAAGAGTATGTAAACGTGCAAATTGGCCAGTAGGTACATAGAGTTTGGGCGGTGGTTGTGTTTAAGTGAGAAGAGAATTGTAATTTAAAAAAGAAAAACTAGTCATTGCATGCATTTTGTGCCAAAGCAATGATAAATAATCTACAGTTTAGCCCACATAGACAGTCGTAATGCAAAAAACTTTAAAGAAAGGATTTACCGTCATCTGTTTAGTCACAACACCAGCGTCGATGGCAGATCTGTTCATGTCTTTCAGAACCTGGAAGTTTGGGGCTTCAATGAACACCACATATGGAAGAAACTCGGCTGTTCGCAGAACTTTGAGTGCCTGTAGGAGAAGATGAAAAGTATATTAAATGGGGTGATAACTTTATAATTGTAATATTTATTTGCATTGTTGGAAAGCTTGTAAGTGCTTTATACAATCAGCATCATGCATTAGTTGTGTTTAGCTTCTGTGAGCAGTCATTGTAAATAGGATATAGAAAGGGAACCTGCGGATTGACATCCAAAATGCAAATCTTGCCGGAGTCCACGACCTCATGGATGGAGTCGATCTTGGTGCCGTACAGGTTTGCATCGTATTCCCCGTGCTCCAGAAACCGGCCACATTTAATGTCAGCTTCCATCTCGCTGCGAGACATGAACAGGTACATCTGCCCCTCCTTCTCATCCACCTTGGGTTTACGAGATGTGTCTGTCCACAGGTACAAAAAGGGTCAGGTTAACATTAGCAGTGCAAATCATCTGAATTAAGACACTTATTCATCGTCTGGTGTCGTTTAAAGCCCTTTGAAGCTGCAATGAAACTCTCTTTTGGACCTTGAACCGTTTGGTTACCAGTGAAGTCCATTATATGGAGAAAATCCTGGAATGTTTTCATTAAAAACCTTAATTTCTTTTTGACTGAAGAAAGAAAGACATGGACATCTTGGTTGTTGTTTTTTTTTTTAAAGTGAACTACAAGACAAGAAACACTTATGAACAATGATTAGAAGAACCATGGCAGGATCACATGTCAATCAGGGGGATCACATGACAGACAAGAACAAGACACAAAAACCCACAAAGTGTCAGTTCAGAAGATGAACGAAAGTCTTCTGGGTTTAGAACGACATGCGGCTTTTAATTACATTTAAAATGTATTTATGATTTATTTAAAAGATTGAATATTGAATCAAAATGATAAATATGCACTGACAGGGTGTTGTGGTTCCATAACGATGCGGGTCCGACACCAAAATCTTATTTTTCAAGCTACGGCGTCCCACTCCCTGAGCTCCAATCAGAACCAGCGTCTTCCTGCGGAATGGAGGCACCTTGGCCACTTCCTCGTAAATCCTCAACTCGTGCCGATCGAACTCTGGAAAAGTGAAAACATCTCATCTTTTGTTAGTCTGATTTTAGTCGCTATATCCATATTTATTACTTGTCAGTTCAGCTTTCTCATTTTCTTTGAGTAAACAAATGCATTTCCATTTAATTCAGTTCCTGACTGCAAACTCGTCATGGCATGATTTTAGCATAAAACAGACTTCAACAACAACGAGCATAACCGAGATCAAGAGTATGACACATGCGCATCCGTTGCACTGGACAGATGGAGAGGTCGTCTTTACCAGCGTTCTTGGTGGTCAAGTACATCATCTTCTTCTTCTTCTTACCCCCCATCCCTGCACACAGAGCCCCTGCGGACATCAGCACACATCCTGGTAGTATAGACACACACAGCATGACTCCTGTCTACTGCAGGAGTCCAACACATTTAACCTCAGGCCACACTTATCAAACCTTTCAGTTCGTTCTAACGTAATAACCAAGTGCGCACAGAAAAATAACAGGATACAGTTTTGGAATGACTTTTGGATGAATAAATAATGGTCTATTAATATCATCACCACCAGAGCACTCTGCTGTTGATCTTCCCCCAGGGGGCGCTGCTCTCAGTTTAGTGTCGTCTCAGGCTGTTTTAAAGTCTTTACTTTTGAAGCCATGTTAGGGGCAGTCTATGGAAAGATAGTATTGTCCTACTTTTCATAGTTTATGATATCATGAGAATATGTAGCTCATGACCTATGAGGGAAAAAAAACACCTTGCAGATGTTATTTATATGGAGATATAATGTAATGTAATGTAAGCTCTGTAAAACAATGCAATGCAAAACAGTGATGATTCCATTTTAACACTATTTTTCTAAAAATGATGCATGGATAATCAAGTGAACTTAAGTTGCTTTGGTGTTCATCCTGAAAAATATAATAACAATATAAAAGTTAATCTTGCATTTACTAAAAATCATTATACGTTTCGGTAACACTTTATAATAACTACACCCTAATAATCATTAGTTAAGTATTAGTAAACAGTTAATTCATCATTCATAAAGCATTAATAGACATTAATAAGCAGTTTATAAATACAGCTGTAAATGCTTTCTTCTCGATTTAAAAGCATATCTATAATTTGTTTAATAATTGCATTTTCATTCTTTAAAAATGATCAATTTATCATTTCTAAATGAAGAATTGCATTTTTTTTATTAACCAGTTATTTAAAAGTTTTCAGTGGTTCATAAGATTACTTAGATTACTTATAACATTGCGTGTAAGTAAATGATTAATAAACTATTTAAATGTACATTCATACATCTTATTATTCAGACATATAGTGATGGTTACTTAATGTGTTAATAAATGCTTTATTAACATGTATTTATGCTGCAATTCAGGGTTAATTCGGGTAGTTATATTATAAAGCATTTAGTAGTGGTCAGTTAACTATGTTTGTGAGCTCATATAAAGTGAGGACTATTGATGCCTTGTAAAGCATTTATAAAGGAAATTTAAAGGCTGTTAAATATTTCTATGTTCTGTATCACTGTGTTGTGTTTGTTACATTTTATTGTTTAGAAGATTGATGCTCCTTTAAATCTCCTTTATAAATGCTTTACAAGGCATCCTCACTTTAGATGAGCTCACAAACATACTGTAGTTCACTGACCACTACTAAATGCTTTATAGCTACCTGTATTTACTACATTTACTTACACTTTCTAAGTGATCTTATGAATGACTGACAACTCCTAAAAGACTGGTTTGTTAATAAAGCTATACTTCATTTAGAAATTATGATTTGATCATTAACAAAGTATGAAAATACAATTAAACGCATTATAGATATGCTTATAAATCAAGAAAAAAGCATTTATAGCTGTATTTATAAACTGCTTATTAATGTCTATTAATGTTTTATAAAAGATGATTACTGTTTACTCATGCTTAACTAAAGCGTGCAGTTATTATAAAATGTTACCAAGGTTTCACAGCAAAAAGACATAGGCAAAACCTAAGGTGATTTTTAAAATTACAATAAAAGGTCTATTACTTCCTAAAAAAAAAACCCAAAAAACTATATCAGTCAGATGACAGAAGGCATGGAGAAGATTGTGTAAAACCAGTTTTAGAAATTCATGTATGAAATATGATACAGTAGGCTTTATAGGGGTAACAAACCATGATTGAGTCATTGGACATTTTTTGGCAGCTACCTTCATGTAAACATACACGTAAAACAATCATAAGTCATAAGCTGAATGTGATAATATACAGTGCTGGTCAGAATTATTTGCCCTCGTGGGAAATGTGATCAAAGATGGCTGTAAAAAATAAATCTGTATTATATATCCTTTTGATATACATATAAAGCAAAAATCTAAACTTTTATTGAAGTAAAATAATTGAAAGTGGGAAAAATCATTATGAAATAATGATTTATCCCCCCCCCGACCCCCCCCACACACACACACTTTTAAATATTTTACTTTATTGAAAAGTTAGATTTTTGCTCATCTTTTAAATAAAATATCAAAAGGATTAACAATGCAGATTTATTTTTGTAGCCATTTTTGATGATATTTACCAAGGAGGCGAATAATTCTGACCAGCATTGTATATTATAAAAAGAGCAACATTGTGAAATATAATTACGAATGAAAAGAACTGTATTCTATTTGCATATATTTTAAAATGTAATTTATTTGTTTATGTGATGGCAAATCATTACTCTTTACTAGTCTTGTCATCATTACTAGTCTTCTGTGTCACATGATCCTTCAGAAATCATCAAACTTGCACACAAGAAATACGCCACTACATATCCCTACTCTGTAGTGGCCTGTGTCCTACCTGTGCTAGTGAGCTCCAGGTCTCTCTTGACAAAAGCTTTTCTCTTCTCCTCAAGCAGCTGACTGGGGATCAGGCCAGCACTGCCTCCTTCCAGATGACACGCCTACAGGTGAGACCAGACTCAAGGTAAGACCAACATACAGAGCATAAACGGGTGGGTCAGGATTTTGGACATCAGACCTCATTTCCAAGTTAGCCTGGGTGTTATTTATCAGTGGAGACAGTTTTCAAAAAATCTCATCCAGTCGTTCCAGTTGCATAGTTCGCCAGTGCTAGGCTAGCGCGAGTCAACGGTAACGGTAACAGTTTTACCCACTCTACAGTACACCAAAAGCCAGACTATCAATGTAAATGTCTGTTGACAGAATAATGTTTGAAATTTCATCGCATTGCAAAAGTTATACTTGGTTTCCTGTATTTATTAGCACAGTCTACAGAAGCGGCGGAGTGATATAAGTTACCTAGGCAACCGAGAGAGGCAGTGAGAGAGAGAGAGAGGTAGTCAGGTAGCCCCGACAGTAGTGCGCTTCGGTTCTGTGTTTAATTTTCGGGTAGTTTGGTTTCTAACATTATTCTCTCAACAGACATTTACATTGATAGTCTGGCGTTATAATTTATTTGCATTTGGTGTACTGTGGAGTGGGTAAAACTGTTTTTAATGGCAGGCTAGCAGTTACCTCTGACTCGCGCTAGCCTAGCACCGGCGAATGCAACTAGAAGGACTGGATGAAATTTTTTTAAAAATGTCTCCACTGATAAATAACACCCACAATAACTTGGAAATGAGCTAATGTCCAAAATCCTGAACCAGGGTCAAATACACGCGCACACACCTGCCACCAGTTAGGGTCCTCCTGGTTGAAGATCTGAAGGATGTCTCCACTGCTGAATTTGAGTCCAGCTTCTTTACAGGGGATCAGGTTGTCATGACTGGGGTCATAGTCAAAGTGACACTTTACAAAGGCCTAGAGAGAGAGCGAGAGAGAGATACAGTAAAAACACCTGAAAATTTTGTTCTTGTTACTGTACTGTATATGCCCATCATCAGAGTGTCATATTGTCAGCCTGTTGAAAACTTCCACAATTAGCTATTTTCTACTGTTATCACTGTCTGACTGAAGAGTTCTGGCCTTATCTGTATCTCGAATGATTCCTTATTCTGTTAACATAAACACTAATGATCAACTTCAGGCACTTTAATATTAATTCCATTTTTATGTTGATTTTACTACTTTTTGACACATGAAGGTCAGAATAAAACTTTCATTTTTTTCTACTTGTCAAATGTGTTTTTTGTGTAGATTTGGTAGTTTTACTCTTGTTAAGACTTTTCAATCTTAAAAATGGAAAAACCATAATAAAAAATTTGAATTTGATTTGATTTGAACTTTATTGTCTGTTCAGACTAACTGGACAGAAATTCATCCTTGACACTTTGACACATAAGACATACATAGTTGATGATACATACATGATAAGTTAAATTAATACAATATGTGCATTTTCACACACCTGTAAAAGCAATCTCAATTGAGAATTGAATTTAAAACAGTAGCCGGCAATGGAACAAATGATATTTTATAAATATTCCTCTTGGCATACGGTATACTGTATGTAGCCTTCGCCCCGATGGAAGGACCTCAAAGCAGAAGTGGAGGGGATGAGTCTGATCTGAATATACTGATAACACCCTATTCTCCAGAAAATGTGAGAATAGCTCCTGCATTGTACTCTGTTTTTGGCCGAGGATCTTATTTGTCTCATTAATTCCTTGTGTTAATTTATTCTTCTGTATCACTGTTAGATTACCATACCATGAAACAATATTATAAGTTCAAACACTTTCAATCATCGGTCTATAGTTAAGATCCTCCTTTCGATGTCAATTGATAGCCTACTAATTATTTGACCAATTCTATAATTTAATAAAATTACAATTTAATACTAATTACTCATTAATTGTTAATAATTTAGTTCAAAAATTATGGGTTACACTTTATAATAACTACACGCTAATAATCATTAGTTAAGCATGAGTAAACCATTAATTCATCATTCATAAAGCATTAATAGACATTAATAAGCAGTTCATAAATACAGCTATAAATGCTTTCTTCTTGATTTAAAAGCATATCTATAATTGGTAACACTTTATAATAACTGCACGCTATTAATCATTAGTTAAGCATGAGTAAACAGTTAATGCATCATTTATAAAACATTAATAGACATTAATATGCAGTTTATAAATATAGCTATACATGCTTTTTTCTTGATTTATAAGCATATCTATAATGCGTTTAATGATTGTATTTTCATACTTTGTTAATGATAAATTAATAATTTCTAAATGAAGTACAATATTATTTGCAAACCAGTTGTTTAAGAGTTGTCATTCATTCATAAGATCACTTAGAAAGTGTAAGTAAATGTAGTAAATACAGGTAGTTATAAAGCATTTATTAGTGGTCAGTTAACTATTTTTGTGAGCTAATCTAAAGTGAGGACTATTCATGCTTTGTAAAGCATTTATAAAGGCGATTTAAAGACTCGTCAATCTTCTAAACAGTAAAATGTAATATGAAATATTTAACAGCCTTTAAAAATGCTTTACAAAGCATGAATAGTCCTCACTTTAGATTAGCTCACAAAAATAGTTAACTGACCACTACTAAATGCTTTATAACTACCCAAATTAATCCTTAATTACAGCATTAATACATGTTAATAAAGCATTTATTAACACATTAAGTAACCATCACTATATGTCTGAATAATAAGATGTATCAATGTACATTTAAATAGTTTATTAATCATTTACTTACTCGCTCTAAGTAATCGTATGAACCACGGACAACTCTTAAATAACTGGTTTATAAAAAATGCAATTCTTCATTTAGAAATGATAAATTGATCATTAATAAAGGATGAAAATACAATTATTAAACAAATTATAGATATGCTTTTAAATCAAGAAGAAAGCATTTATAGCTGTATTTATGAACTGCTTATTAATGTCTATTAATGCTTTATGAATGATGAAGTAATGGTTTACTCATGCTTAACTAATGATTATTAGCGTGTAGTTATTATAAAGTGTTACCAAATTGGGAAATATATAAAAAAAATGTTTTTCACAAATTATTACACCTCTCCCTAACTTGTGCCATCATTTCCTTCACAATAAGCAATTTTGTTCCAATTAGTTTTTTTCCCAAAGTAAGGGTGCTTTTTTTTCTTTTTTACTTAATAGCGTCAGCTTGATATGAAATATGAACTATTTTGGGGGGGGGGGTTTGGGGGGGGGTCAATATCACATGTGCATCATTCGCAATCAAGCTGTAAAATGTAAATTAAGAGTGAAATATTATTTGTGTTAATTCAAATAAGCACACTTAAAAAAACAAGCCTTAAATGTCAAAAACGTTAAAAGTTAACACCTTTATATTTACACAATTCATTTTAAAGCATTTATAAAATGATGACAAGATTTAAAAGAGATACTCCACTTTTTTTGGAAATAGGCTCATTTTACCACTCCCCAGAGTTAAACAGTTGAGTTTTACCGTTTTCGAATGTATTCAGCCGATTTTTTTGATATTTAGAAGAATATCAGTAACCAGACAGTTTCTGGTCTCATTGACTTCCATAGTAGGAAAAATATATACTATAGTCAATGAGACCAGAAACTGTCTGGTTACTGATATTCTTCTAAATATCAGAAAATCGGCTTAATACATTCGAAAACGGTAAAACCCAACTGTTTAACTCTGGGGGAGTGGTAAAATGAGCCTATTTCCAAAAAAAAAAAAAAGTGGAGTATCCCTTTAAAATTTTGGTCGAACCATCCCTTTAAATCGAATGTTAGTGTGCGAGCCAAAAACCCGTTGTCATGGCAACTGTAGTTACCTGCAGACCAGTGGAATGTTGCTATTAGGTGCTGGAACCTCAATGTCACGGAAAATATGCCTGGATTGCATCACTCAAACAGTCAACAACAAGCACACACAACACAACAACACGACACATGCCAACAATACCATCTGCCATCACAAACACCTAAAAACATGAATATTCCCACCACGTAAGCGTGAATCACATTAGTAACATATCACACTGTGATGTCCAGTCCCATATTAGCAGCAGGCACAGGAAGATGTTCGTTTATTTTGGGATCAAATGAAGACAGGCACAGATGGGACGCTGTGAATATGGCACCATATGGGCAGACAAACAGAACTTCACTCATTTAATTCTCAGTTATTAAGCAGCAAAGATGCACATCTCTGACATGCAGAAAGCGGGTAAGAATCACTGAAAGTGAATAAGGGCAGACTTGAAGATTGTCTGCGTCTCATCTCAATCTGCGGGGTTGGCGCAGTGTCAAAAACAGGGAGGGCTTTGGCATAATGCACTAATCTCCCAGCATGCTCTGGAGTGGAGACAGGTGCTCAAACCTGGCAGGGCTGACCAAAGTTTGAACTCAAAGATGTCAATTTACAGCAATGTTGAACCAAGGTTATTACAGAAGATGTTAGTTACATGTGTGTTTGCATGTTTGTGTCAGCATGCGAGTTCCAGAGCATTCCGGTCCCGTTACATCTGTTATTAACAGCCGCCCGGGTGATCCGATTGACCTTACAACAGATGATAATAATGACTGACTGCTCAAATAGTCAATTTCTGTCAAGCTTTCAATCTTACTGAACTGTCAGACACATTCAAACCTCCATTTTTTTGGCAAATTCAATTGACTATGGTAAAGGGTGTGGATATGTCACATGTAATTTGGATACTAGGGACTAGAACAGCTCTTCTGGTGTTAAAAATCACTGTCTAGATTTACTTAAGATAAATGTTTGCTAATGCTTTACTGGTATTTGCACCATTATTTACAGACCGATTTTGGACTTGACATGCTGTTATAGTTGCTGCTAGGAGGATGTGCCAAGAGAAAGATCACACTGTAGAAGAGAGAGACTTAAGTTTTCTCCACTCATGTTAATTTATCTGGAATGCCCGCGGCCGGCCAGCAGCATAGGCGGAATTGCCAAATGCTAGGGGCGCAGCTCATCCAGATGAGTGTTTATTTTTTATCTTACTAATAGTGTACAATGGGGCTAAAGGCACACTGGGGTAAAATACATTTGACATAATATTTTCACATATTTTCTTTTAAACCACTAGATCTAGTATAAACCACTTGTTTGTGCATACCTAGACGGGATCGCGGACAGCAGCGCAAGCTGATCCTGCGCTAATTCGATCTTATATTTAATGTTTTTAAAATGCTGTAGATTAATGAAGCAAAAATAATCGCTAAAATTAATGTCTATATTTTGAGACAAATGTCTTTTTGTCACCCAATTTTCATCTTCATAGAGTGCCGAAGTTACAACGTCACTCTGTAGGCCAAAACGCGGAAGTGAGTTAGTATTTTAGCACAACGGTTCCCTCGCACTAAAGCCTATGGGATTTTTGAATGGGTTTTTGCTAAATCGCCTGAAATAAGGTCTGTGGTGAACAGAGCCTCTAAATATTTTCACGTTTTGATCTATGACATAGAACACACAGTTATAACCTGCTTGTGGTTTTTTAAACATTATTGTGTCTGATTGTGTTTTTTAAAATCTTTATATAGGCTTCAAAATGTATAAATTTTGGATTAACTTGTAAAGATTATCTTGCTAGACAAAACGTGTAAGGGTCACAACCCTTTGTTAAACACAGATCTTATTTTTTTGTGATTTTCCAAAAGTCTATGGGGAAAATGCATTGCTTTCCGACCGAGGGAACCCATGCGCCGCTAGCTTCCGAGTTGTCCTACAAAGTGACGTCATCACTTTGGCACTCTATTCAAGGTAATAAGAGTGCTGCCCTCTTCAGGTTAAACGGTGGCTACTGCAGTTGAAGTTTCCTATTGGAAGTTGTGGTGCCCTGTGATGTAAGCAGGCACCAGCTAACCAGCTAACCTCCTTGCCTACAGGGAGACGAGTCGTCAAGACTCTGACCAGGGGTTTAGTTACCATTTATACCTTATGGGCTGTTTGCGAAAGGTGTACACTCAGGATGTTTGGGGCCTTCAGAGACCCTGAACAGTAAAATTTTGTGACATAAAAGTGGTGGGAGTGGTTAAATAAATTACAAGCAGACACATCATTTACACCTGGTAGTACCTGGATAGTCTATATACATTTACAATTACAAAAAATTATAACAATTCTGAGAAATAACTGAATGTTGCCCACCTGTCGAGGTGTGTGTGGTTCTTGGTAACTGGGGAGGATTTTGAGGACCACACTCCCGTTGGACTCTTTCAGCATATTCTGAAGAACCTTTGGGTCGCTCCCGACCTCTTTTCCGTTCACCTCTTTGATGATGTCACCCACATGCAGCAGGCCCTGCTGATCTATCATGCCCCCGTGCAGAATCCTAGCAATCACCAGCTCTCCACCCTCCACCCGAAACGTCACACCCTGGCAGACAAAACACGATGTGATTCAAACAAAAGTGACACTATTTACTTTTAAAAAACTTTTTTTGTGCTTCTTAAATAACAATTTCAACTTTATTCGACTAATTTAAATTTATCGATCACTAGGATAGAAGTGAGTGTGCAAAATAAAGCTATATATGAAAGAAAAAACATAAGTCACGAAAATGTTAAAAGCTAATTTCCAGAAGAAATGTATAATTCCATTGGACCCTTTTCAGGGATTGTGATGATGCATACTCTGTTAATCTATCAAGTGTTTTTAATATATAGAGTATTTTCATAAAAAAATGACATAGTCCCTCCAGTATGTCCAAGGTCTTCCCCACAGTCTCCTCCCAGTAGGACGTGCCCGGAACACCTTCCCGCGAAGGTGTCCAGGATGCATCCGGAACAGATGGCGAGCCACCTCAGCTGACCCCTCTCGATGTGGAGGAGCAGCGGCTCTACACTGAGCTCCTCCCGAGTGACTGAGCTTCTCACCCTATCTCTAAGGGATTGCCCAGCCACCCTGCGGAGAAAGCTCATTTCGGCCGCTTGTATCCGGGACCCAAAGCTCATGAGCATAGGTGAGAGTAGAAACGTAGATTGACTGGTAAATCGAGAGCTTCGCCTTGCGGCTCAGCTCCTTCTTCACTACAACAGACCGGTACATCGACCGCATTACTAGGGTTGGGTATCGAGAATCGAGTATCGATTGGAACCGGGACTAACTTTTCGTTTTTCCCGGAATCGTTCAAAAGTTAAAATTTCGATTCCTAGTTTCGATATTCACAGTCCGCCGAGCGGAAGAAGAAACCGCTGAACAACACCAACGAAGAAGCGTCTACCGGAAGTGTTGGCATAACCGCGCGAGTCGAACATTAGTAGCTTACGTCAGCGGTCCAAAGTGTGGCTTCACTTTTCTAAAAATAACGAAATCTCGGCAAAATGCAAAATTTGTGACAAAAGGAGTATTTGTGACAGGAGTATTTCCTTCAGAAAGGATTATTTTCTTTAGAAAGGCCGTTGGTTAGCAAGGTTAGCTAAACTTTATTGACCCTGCCTCTTAAAAGAATCAGAATCGAGAATCGTTAGGAACCGGAATCGAAACAAGGAATCGGAATCAGAATCGTTCAAATTCAAACGATACCCAACCCTACGCATTACTGCAGAAGCTCCACCGATCTGTCTGTTAATCTCCCGTTCCATCCTTCCCTCAATCGTGAACAAAACTCCAAGATTCTTAAACTCCTCAACTTGAGGCAGGATCTCTCCACCGACCGGAAGTGGGCAAGCCACCCTTTTCCGACTGAAGACCATGGCCTCGGATTTGGAGGTGCTTATTCTCTTCCCCACCTTCACACTTGGCTGCAAACCGTCCCAGTGCATCCTGAAGGTCCTGGTGTGAAGGGGCCAACACGACAACATCATTCGCAAAGAGCAGAGATGAAATCGTGTGGTCCCCAAACCTGACAACCCTGGCTGCGCCTAGAAATTCTGTCCATAAAAATTATGAACAGAACTGGTGAAAAAGGGCAGCCCTGCCAGAGTCCAAAATGCACCAGGAAGAAGTCTGACTTACTGCCGGCAATGCAAACCAAGTTCCTACTTCGGTCACACAGGGATCAGACAACCCTTAGCAAAGGACCCTGGACCCCATACTCCTGGAGCACCCTCCACAGGCCGCCGCAAGGAACACAGTCGAAAGCCTTCTCCAAATCTACAAAGCACATGTGGATTGGTTGGGTAAACTCCCATGATCCATCAGCACCCTGTAGAGGGTATAGAGCTGGTCCAGTGTTCCACGGCCTGGATGAAAACCACACTGTTCCTCCTGAATCCGAGGTTCCACTATCGGCCGTGTTCTCCTCTCCAGTACCCCGGCATAGACTTTCCCAGGGATGTAGATGGAACATACCCTCCAGTCCCCCTTTTTAAAAAGAGGGATCACCACCCCGGTCTGCCATTCCAGAGGCACTGTCCCCGACCGCCACGCGATGCTGCAGAGGCGTGTCAGCCAAGACAGCCCCACAACATCCAGAGACTTGAGGTACTCAGGGCGGATCTCATCCAACCCCCGTGCCTTGCCACAGAGGAGTTTCTTGACTACCTCGGTTACTTTAGCTAGGGTGATGGACGAGTCCACCTCTGAGCCCTCAGCCTCTGCTTCCTCAATGGAAGGTGTGAAAGCGGGATTGAGGAGATCCCCCAAGTATTCCTTCCATCGTCCTTCAACATCCCCACTTGAGGTCAGCAGCCGCCCACCCCTACTGTAAACAGCATTGGTAGGGCACTGCTTCCCTCTCCTGAGGTGCCGGACAATTTGTCAGAATCTCTTCGAGGCCAGCCGATAGTCCTTCTCTATGGCCTCACCGAACTCCTCCCAGGCCAGAGTTTTTGCCTCCACAACCACCCGGGCTACAGTCCGCTTGGCCTGCCGCTACCAGTCAGCTGCCTGAGGAGTCCCACAAGCCAACCAAGCCCGATAGGACTCCTTCTCCAGCTTGATGGCATCCTTTACTTCCGGTGTCCAACAGGCACCGGAGACCTCACTCCCACAGCTCCGAGCAGCCACTTCGACAATGGAGGTGGAGAACATGGTCCACTCGGACTCAATATCTGCAGCCTCCTTCGGGATCCGGTCGAGGCTCTGCCGGAGGTGGGAGTTGAAGATCTCCCACCTCCTTTATTCGTTTTTATTCTTTTTAAATATATCTATTTAACTTCATTTGTTTTTATTACCGGTATACAGTATATAAACAAATATAATATGTATATATATATATATATATATATATTATTTTTTTTTACTTTAACAATATCAACCCTGGTCCATGTATTGCTACAGAAGTCTAAAAGTGCTACTGTACATGTTTCAAATCTGGAAATGTGAAAGGGCTCTATTTAGAAACAGTCATTGTTTTTGACATTTGTTTGTGTTCTATTTAAAGAAATGACACGCTTCATCAAGAGCAGCTCACATTACAATTCTCCATTTCAGTTTTATGAAAGCAAAGTCATGTCTCGCTTATTTGAATATTTAGTCTTATTTGCACAGTCCTCACATTGCACCTCCAAAAGAAACATACAACAAATAACAGCACACAAATTGTGAGGTTTCTGCAGATTGTCAGGTCTCACCAGGTGCTCTCCAGACACTTTGCGGATGCCCACCATCCTGACAGCATCAGGGGGAACAGGCTGGTTGATGAACGCAGGGTCCATGAACGCACAGGGGCTGGGAGGCGGAGTCTCATAGCTTTTGGAAGCTACAGAGTCATGTGTTTCAAGCAGAGACTGTAGAAAAAAAGGTATTGAGAGAAACCACTTTAAAAATCTATAGGAAACACAATTTTGCTCTAGACTGAATCTCTGTACCTGAAAGTGAGGCTCTTTGAGGATGCAGACGAGCTCGTGTGCCGCCTGACTGTGAGATGTGAGGGTGGTGAGGTCTCTCAGGATATCCTGCACTAACTCCAAATTATTGTCCCTCACCGCCTCCAGCTTTGGCTCTTCGTAGTGCTCTCGAGACTACACACAAAACATTAAAAGCGCTTTCATATATAGAAAATGTGATGTCCGAACATGAGGGTGGGTAGATGATGACGGATTTTTGGTAAATGACCTGTTAAGGTGAGATTCGATTGGACTGATGGATGATTTCTGCCATTGTTGTGAACACTTTTAAAAACACATCACAGATTGTATAGCACCAAAAAGAGCTATGCTACTAACTTGACCATATGAAGAGTTCAGATGCAAAAGCCTCTAAATGCCATTTGAAATTTTCTTCTTTAATGATGATTTTTATCAAACTTGTATATTTAAGTTCAGTAATTTCACTTAAATGGCAATGATAATTACCTATTAATTGTTATTTAAGTGAAATTACTGAACTTAAATATACAAGTTTGATAAAAATCATCATTAAAGAAGAAAATTTCAAATGGCATTTAGAGGCTTTTGCATCTGAACTCTTCATATATTGCTGTAGTGACAGTGGATTTCAAAGCTATGAAAGCTTGTTTCCACTACAGAATCCCAAAAAAAGATAATTGTGTCTCTGAGATATAAACTCACATTTGATAATTATAAAGTCGGAATTGTGGGATATTTTTTTTTTCAAAATTGTGAGATATAAACTTGCAATTCTGAGAAAAAAAAATTCTCTCAGAATTTGACTTTATAACTCGTAATTGCAAGTTTATATCTTACAATTCTCAGATTCTGACTTTATAATTCGCAATTGTGAGATATAAACGTGAAATTATCAGTTATTAAGTCTTTGAGCTACTTATAAAAATACTGACTTTTTTATCAGAATTGCAAGTTTATATCTCACAATTTTCAAAAGTCAAAATTTCACAAAAAAATCTAAATTGCAAGAAAATAAGTATATAAATTTGCAAATACGAGTTAGAAAGCCCAATTCTGAGGGGGGGGAGGGGGGAACTTGGAATTGCAAGTTTATATTTCACAAATCAGACTTTGTAAATTGCAATTGCTTGTTTATATCTGACATTTTCAATTTGATAAATCGGATCAAATATGATAACTATACAGACAGAGACCCAACTCTTAATTAAAGAAAAGCCTCATGTTGACAAATGGACATCAATTTAAGAAAGTGAGTGGCTCACCACTGGACTCTCCATGATTCCTTTCAGAAAGATGAGGTCCAGGTCATTGGCTGTGGTGGAGCTGGTGCTGTCACTCAAGGTGTCCAGAAGACTCAGCATTGCTGAAGACAGGAAGACAAAATGATTCAGTCTATACCATTGCCCCATTGGTGTCTAAGGTTCAGGCTGATAAAGTCTGCTGCAAATGCTGCCCGTTTGTACATAAGTTTGAACTACAGCATGAGGGGACACCCAAACTACAGTTTAAAAAGGGACAATTCAAGATTTCTAATGGAATATTGAAGTACTTATTATTATAAATGATTTATCATACACTAATAAATTTCATCTTGTTGGATAAGCCGTTTCACTCGGATATTTGTTACAATAGGGAAGAAAAGACGTTTTCTTTCTTTCGTTTCTTTAGGAGTGTGCACACAAATAACAAGCACGTCCAGAGACAAAAAATGTAGCAACCACAAAATGCATGAATAAAACATGATATTGAGATAATTACATTTATTTCAGAAGAACTCCCCTATACACTGTTAAAATTAGAAAAATGTCAATGATCAAAGACAAAGTTCTTTCTTTGCAACTCATTATTTAAACAAGCCTCATTAAAAGCATCAAACATCATGTTGATATTACAGATGATATTACATTTTGCTCAAATAATGTTTATAGATTGCTTGAATAGCCATAATTATATATCCATTGAAGTCCTTGTTTGTACATACCAAAGATGCTAAAAAAAAAAGAGACATGTTTCTTTTCATACTTGAGAAGCCACGAGAGAAGATCAATGCAGTGGAGAACCATCAAAGCTGAATCTCCTCATCCTCAAACAGAGTTTATTTTAATGAGAAAAAAAAAAATTTCTAGAGAGATCCACGAGACGCCTCGAGAGCTGCACCATACTTTTCCAATAAGAAACAGACCTGGACTGCAAGCAAGCCAGTCAAGCACATTTCTTCTACAGTGATGAGGCTGTAGTGCAGAATGCGGGCTGGCATTGTCTTGCTTACCAAGAAAGATGCCATAAATGTCAGTATATGTTTCTGTATTTTTTTAATTCATTTAGCTGACGCTTTTATCCAAAGCGACTTAAAATTGATATTTATGTCAGAGGTCACACGCCTCTGGAGCAACTAGTGGTTAAGTGTCTTGCTCAGGGACACATTGATGTCTCACAGTGGATTTGAACCCGGGTCTCTCACACCAAAGGCATGTGTCTTATCAACTGCCAATTCTTTCTTTACAATCCCAATATACTCCTCCACATCAATGATACCTTCACACACACATATGCACTGATGCACCCCTATACCATGACAGATGTTTGCTTTTGTAACAGTCACTGATGAAAGACTAGATGGTGTCTTTACTCTTTGAGGCTGAGAACTCATGGTTGTGGCTATATTTAATTTAACATAGCAGCATTTTAATGTCTTTATAATACCACACTTTACTCACACAGTATAAATGAATTAAAGGATTAGTTCACTTTTGAAAAAACTTTTGCTGATAATTTACTCACCCCCATGTCATCCAAGATGTCCATGTCTTTCTTTCCTCAGTCGAAAAGAAATTTAGGTTTTTGATGAAAACATTCCAGGATTTTTCTCCATATAATGGACTTCAATGGGAACCGGATGGTTCAAGGTCCAAAAGACAGTTAATAACTGTTTCAGATGCAGCTTCAAATGTCTTTAAACGATATCAGATGATGAATAAGGGTCTTATCATGCGAAACGATCGGTTATTTCAAAGCTTATTCCAAAAATGTAACTTTTCTAAGGACAAATGCTAGCCTTGCTCTATTCTGTGAGGCGCGTTTGTAACGTCACGTAATAATTACGTTCAAAAGGTCACGGGCGACGTAGCCGGAAGTTAGCATTAGCAAGAAGCTAGCATTTGTCCTTAGAAAAGTTACATTTTTGGAATAAGCATTGAAATAACCGATCGTTTCGCATGATAAGACCCTTATTCATCGTCTGGTGTCGTTTAAAGACATTTGAAGCTGCATCTGAAACTGTTATTAACACTATCTTTTGGACCTGAACCATCCGGTTCCCATTGAAGTCCATTATATGGAGAAAAATCCTGGAATGTTTTCATCAAAAACCTAAATTTCTTTTCGACTGAGGAAAGAAAGACATGGACATCTTGGATGACATGGGGGTGAGTAAATTATCAGCAAAAGTTTTTTCAAAAGTGAACTAATCCTTTAATACATTTATAAAATTTTATGGCTGGTGTTCCTCACAAGAGGATTATCATATTTGGGTCCTTGGTATAATAGCCTGGTAATACCAGACTCTGCTACTTCACTTTGCTTCGTAGACAGAGTTTGGAATGGCATAATAGTGTTTTCTCTTTCGCTAGGGGGCGCTTGTCTGAAGTTTAAAATCATTGGTTAACCATAAGCCAATCAGATAAGTTTATTTATGACGTATGTTATGCACCAACACAGCCGCATCGAACTACAGACATCATGTATTGAACTCAAATCTATGATCGAACTTCCACTGTAAACACTTGATGATGCGAGCGAAATACCGGAGTGAACATGGCTGTAAATGACTTTTGCAGATTATGCGAAGTTAATCTACACATCCACGGTACAATCACGGCTTCTAAACTTATTTTTGCAAGAGTGAAACAAGAAAATATTGGTAACACTAAGCATTAATTCATGCTTAACTAATGCACAGATAATACTGAATTAATGTGTAACTAATGATTATTTAAGTTATTCATTAATGATTACTGCATTAGAAACTAAGGTTAATGTCTTTAAGGTTAATGTATTAGTTCATACATGAAATGTTATTAATTAAATATGTAATTGTGGGTTAATTCCATAATAACTCATTTTTTAACTAATAGTGTTAATTAATATGTTAATTACCAGAATGAGCCAAAACCTTGTATTTCAACTTCCAGATAATATGACAGGTACACTCGTATGCATTAATACATAATTAATTACTTCATTGTTAGTGCACATTCATGAGCAAATAACTACAATTACTAAATGACTAGTTAATAAGGATGTGCCCCAACAAGTAAAGTCATAACACAATGATACCTTTACAAATCATTAGCTAATGAATAATTAAAGCAGACAACTGGAAGTGCATAGCTTTGACTAATTGTGGTAATTAACACATTAATTTACACTATTAGTTAATAAAATGTGTTATTAAGGAATTAATACACAATGACACATTGAATTAATAGCAATTCATGTATTAATCTATTAATCATATAGACTCTATTAGTTGCTGATGCATTAATCATTAATTAATGGTTTAATTATTCATGATACATTAAATAATGATTATCTGTGCATTAGTTAAGTATGAATTAATGCATATTAGTGCATCCGTATTGTAAAGTGTTACCAAAATATTTGTAGCCAACTCTGAAACTTAGGATTAGATCTATTAAACACGGCTCTTTGTTCCTCTAGCCTGGTAATACCAGACTCTGCTACTTCCCTTTGCTTCGTAGACAGATGTAACTAACGGTAACAATTGATAAATTGAACTTTTCCCCAAACCAGTTGGGAGTAGGACCACAACATCATCACCTCCATTTAAAAGGTTTATCAAACACTCTTCTTGTTCTGGCTTCAGTTTGGCTTTCCATTCCATTTCTCTAACCTACAATGTAAAACTGAAAACTCGGCGATTAACGTCTACGTCATGGCTCCCAGCCCGCCCTCTGTTCGTTGATTGGCTGGCTGTCCGAAGGCCACTGGAAAACTGAAAGATAGGCTGCTATCTCAGACTGACTACAGGAGCGAAATGAAATTAACATAGTCTGGCTAATAATACCTACATGGTAAATAAAAATACTTAAAAGTAGATTTTTTAATACTAATGAAACAAACCGCCACTTAAGTGTACTTAAAGAGAGTGCACTTTCATTAACACCCTTAAGTGCACTTTGTAATAATGTCAAATTACATAAAGATGTACTTGAATCCAACATGTAATGTGTAAAAAAAAAAAGCTCTCTAAAGTTCAGCTAACTGCATTTCACAAACAACTAAACTATAATACATTTTCATTTAATTGCAATTAACATGCAATTTAGTGTCTGAAAACAATACATTCAGTTTGCATTGAGTATACTCTTGTAAATATATCCAACTCAGTCTCAACTAAGTACACTTTTTAAAAGTTTGCTAAAGTGTATTTCTTCTTGACAGCAAATGACTAGTGTTTGGAGCAGAGTTTGTGATCTGGGTTCTAATGAGATAGAAATCCAAAGCAGCTAAAGGAGTTTCTCTTTTAGATTTTTTTTTGTTGTTGCTGTTTTTGCTGATGTTGTCTGTGAGCAATGAAGATTAGGTCGCATACTTCTGAGAGAGTCCTTCGCCAGCCAAACAACAACCACTGAGATTAATGCGAATGCTAAAGGAGAGCCCTCGCCAGGTATTATAGACCTCTTTGCTATAATTAATACCACAGCTCTGTAATGTATATCTCTATGGAAACACGTCCTACTGGTGTGTGTCTGAGCAGAAGGGTCAAGCTCATTACTAGCTTTATGTCGACATCCTGCCGAGACTTACTGACATTTAAGCTGAAAGGACACGCCAAAGAAATACACACATTTATTGAGTCTGAGCCGTGAGACTTTAAAGCTTGATTAGAATTCTAAAACTTGTTTTATGAAGAGGTGTGTGCAACATATACGTGACTAACTTTTGCTAATTTACCTGGACATGCCATGATGTTCAACAAGAATCTGTCACTGTATAGTACACCTGTTTCCGGGGGCCACTACTATAAAAAGTGCATACCAATGCTATTTTGTGTGCTATTTAGCAAAGAGGAAAGGTGTTTTTTCGGATAATGTTTTACTATTTAAACTAAGTCGCAAACCTTTATGAGAGATGTCGTTACGGAGCTCAGGAACAACATGTGCTGTTGTACATATAACTGGACTAAACTAATTCAGTGGCAAATTATATTATCCAACAATCTTGGACTATAGATTTTAAGTGAAGGCTACTGTGAAGCAACATAACATACATTTCATTGTATATATAATATAATATAATATATAGGCTATAGGCTACTACTGCTATATTTACTTCTTATTT